TAAGTTAGTGTATGTAAAATGCTTAGACTCAAGCACTTAGTATATGATCAGTAAGTATCAGTATTATAAATGTCGAGGTATAGCAATTTCATTGGCATTCATTTGTGGCAATGTGTTTGTTGTATTAAGTCTATTCTGCTTTTACAGCTTGAATTTTTTGTAGTATATTATTAGACTACGATTACTTTTCTCTCCCTTTAGAATGCAAGAAGATTTTAGCGTATGAATTAATTGTATTGCAAAGAAATATAAAACTTCCTTGAAATCAGATACTGAACCAGCATCTACACCAAAGATGTGCCCAACAGATCTTGTTAAAGAGATAACTGTGTATAAACACATGAAAAGATGTCAGCTTCACTATTTTTAAAAATATTTATTTATTTATTTATTTTTGCCCTCGCTGGGTCTCTTTGGCTGCACGCAGGCTTTCTCTAATTCTAGCAAGTGGCGACTACCCTTCGTTGCAGTGCATTGCGGTGGCTTCTCTTGTGGCACTCAGGCTCCAGGCATGCGGCTCAGTAGTTGTGGCACATGGGCCCAGCTGCTCCTCAGCATGAGGGATCCTCCCAGACCAGGGATCAAACCAGCGTCTGCTGCACTAGCAGGCAGACTTCCAACCACTGGACCACCAGGGAAGTTCCAGCTTCCCTATTAATCAAAGAAATACAAATTAAAAAGACCATAGCCACAATACCCAGTGTTGACTAAGGTGTGGGCAAAAAGGTTTTCTTTAACACTCTTGTCAAGTACAAATTATTATATCCTTTCCCCTAGGCAATTGGGCAAAAAGTATCAAAATGTAAAGTACAAACTATTTAATCAATTTCACCTCTAAGACTTTTCCTAAGGAAATAAACAAGTGTAAACAGTTGTGTTTGGAGGCTATTCCTTGCATCATTGTTTCCAGTAGCAAAGCATTAGAAACCTGTGTAACATCTAAGGGGAGTATTGGGCTCCACCCAGATCTCCGGTAGGCACCTAACCCTCAGCTTCTATGAAGGCTGGAGAATTACCCTGGGGGGAGTTAAGGGAGAAGTGAAAAGTGAAAGTGAAATTGTTATTTACTCAGGGTCGGACACTTTGTGACTCTATGGCACACAAGGTGAGGGGTGGGAGGAGAGAGAATGAACATAGCAAATGTCAGCAATTATTGAATTTAGTGCAGGGTGTATGGAGTTTGTTGCATTAGTCTCTCAATTTCATAGTAGGTTTACATTTATTCAAAATAAAAGTTGAGGAAAATGTACTTTCTGAGTATGAGGACTGACTCTGGGGGGCTCCGTACATTCTCTGGGTGCTGGCTTGTCCACCCAAGGGGCCACATGCAGACATTACTCCTGCCGTGTACCTTTAACTTGCTTTCAGATCTGTCAGCTTTGATAGACTTGGTTCAGTTGGACCTTGTGTCTGATAGTTTTACTAAGAAACTCTCAGTAAAAGCACACCCTTGATTCAGCTCTTCCACTTATGGGAACCTAGCCAAAGGACAGAGTCTATTAATACTTTCTGGCTTCTTTTGGCTATTAAGGTTCTGTGTGCTCATGCATGCTCAGTCACTTCTGACTCTTTGCAACCCCACAGACTGGAGCCCACCAAGCTCCTCTGTCCATAGAATTTTTCAGGCAAGGATACTGGAGTGGGTTGCCATTTCCTACTCCAGGGTATCTTTCTGACCCACGAACTGAACGTGTGTCTCCTGCCTTGGCAGGCAGATTCTTTACCACTGTGCCCCTGGGACGCCTCCCGAGCCAAAGAGAACAGCTACCAGCAAATAATTAAAGACGACCTCAGTGGCCAACAATGGAGGACTGATTTCACGGCAAGCGGTCACTGAAAACAGTTCAGAAACGTGCTGACATGGGAAGACAGTTATGACATACAGTGGAAAATATTAGAAAACTGTATGGTACAAACAAATTCTATTTAAAAGATCACAATTATATCTGCAGATTTGGAAGAATGCACACCAAATGCTTAACTTGGACCATCTCTGGGTTTATGGAATTTATGGTGCTCTGGCTTTTTGGCTTATGCATAATTTCTGAATCTTTTATTAAAAATATCTATTGCTTAAGCATTTAAAAAAGAAATCTTATTAAAAGATAAAAGGGAGTTCCCCTGTGGCCTAGTGGTTTAATTCTGGGCTTTTGCTGCTATATGCAGTCAAAAACAAAGAAGATAAAGGAAGACTGTTGTTATTGTTCAGTCGCTAAATTGTGTCCAATTCTGGGTGAAGAGGAAAGAAGATAATGTGATGTTTTATAAATAAATCCAACTCTGACACTTCTTTATAATAAATTATAAATTGGGCTTTTCAGAAGACCTAAATGTTTGAACTTTCTAATATATCTACTTCAAAGATGCAGCCTGCAGTGTGGTCACAACTTGAGGTTTTGCACACTTAGAATGGAAAAACAAGGTCCAACTGTATAGTACAGGGAACTTTATCCAATCTCCTGGGATAAACCATCATGGAATGTGTATGTGAGTAAATCTGGAGCTCTTTGCTCTATAGCAGAGATTGGCACAACATCACGAATTAACTCTACGCTAAAAAATGGGGGAAAAAGACTTCAAGTTTCTGTCTTGGGATGGTTGTGTTACACTGTGGCTCTGTCACTTCAGGCTGTCTAGTCTCTGTCTCTGTAACATGTGTGGTAGTAATACTACCAACCTCACAGCTTTGTTGAGGATTAAATACTACACAGAAAACTCTTGACACAGTGCCTAATAGTACTAAGTGCTCAATAAGCGTTAGGAGCCAGCAGGTGCCTTCTGTTCAGGCTAACAGCAGGAGCCCCTGCCTAAGCCTAAAGGATTCCACCAGGCACTCTGACAGTGGTGCATCTCACCTAGTATTTTGCAGAGAAGTGTGTGTGAGTGCTCAGTCATGCCTGACTCTTTGCAACCCCATGGACTGTAGCCTGCCAGGCTCCTTTGTCCATGGGATTCTCCAGGCAAGAATACTGGAGTGGGTGGCCATACCCTCCTCCAGTGGATCTTTCCCAACTAGGGATCTGACCCGTCTCCTGCATTAGCAGGCAGATTCTTTACCACTGAGCTACCTGGAAAATCCAGAGAGGGGGGCAGGGGAATGTAAAAGCAGAACTTCCAGGTCATTTTATTTCCCTGAAGCTTCCTTATCACTGGGTGTGAAGTACAGGTGCTGATCAACTCTGTTAATAAAGCACAGTGCTCAGGAAACCAAAGGCAAAGGTCTGAAGCCCCTTAGTGAGGATGTGTCCCTCATAACCACTACTGGCAGGGGAAGTACACTTTTAGACCTCACAAAAGATAGCATATTTATTTAGGAAACAACAGTTTCAAAATTATTCCCCAAACTCAGAATCTATGGGCCAGAATACACACCCTAACTAAATGAGTGAGGTCTTCATTAACTGCTCACTTATTAAATAAAACTTTAACTGACTATGTGGAGTAGTGTTTCTCCATAAATCACTTGGAGTGCCAGAGATTGAGTCCATTAAATAACACATTGCACCTGGGATGGTCCAGTAATTGGAAATTTTTATTTTTATAAATACCTCCAGATGGTTTTCATGATCATAAAGGAACTTTGGGAAACACTGATGAAACATGCATTTCATCCTTTGCAGATTTTAAGTCTTGAACACGTGGTCCTTGAATGACCCACTGAAAAGTCTAATCCAGTCCAGTTTTAGAAAAAGAAAGTAAGTCTTTTGAATATCTGACTTCTTGTTTCCTAGGAGACACTGTTTTTCATTTCCATTTCTGGCCCAGCTCTTCTAGGTCAGGTTTTTCTCCAAGGGTCCATCTTCCTTGAGTTGAGGCATAGCAATCCAATCATTTTTAAATATTGGTTTATTATTAAAGGATTGTCACGTTTAATTAAATAACATTTGCTCGCTTTTGTCTCTCCTTTCCTTTCCCCCTGAAACGTATGTTAACAGGTTAGGGTGCTTTGTATAATACACATTCAATATTCTGGTTTCTCCACCTTAAACTTCATACTGAGGATACCGTGTATGCCAGCCTGAATCTCATCGTTTTCTTTAACGGGTCCCACTCCTTTTGGCGTCCCGGTCAAGATAATATCTCCTTCTTCCAAGGTCATGATCTTAGAAACGTAGCTGATGATGTAGGGGATGGAAAAAATCATGGAGGATGTCTCACCCTCCTGTCTGAGTTCACCGTTGACCTTGAGCCAGAGCTTCAGGTTGTGAGGGTCAGGGATCTTCTCTTTGGGCACGAAGGCACTGACCGGGCAAGAGGCCGTGAAACTCTTGGCCAGAGTCCAGGGCAGCCCCTTCTTTTTGCACTCGTCCTGCACGTCCCTGGCGGTCATGTCCAGGCACAGGGCATAGCCGGCCACGTAGTCCATGGCCACGGCCTCCGGGACTGCGCGGCAGCGCTTGCCCATCACCACGGCGAGCTCGAGCTCGTGGTGCAGGTTGCGGGAGTAGGCGGGCACGAGCACCGGCGAGCCTTCGGGGGCGTAGGCGGTGGACGGTTTCAGGAAAAGCACCGGCTCGCTGGGCGCGGCGCTCTGCATCTCCCGGACGTGGTCCGCGTAGTTCCGGCCCACGCACACGATGTTCTTCCCCCACTCCCAGAAGCGGGACATCGGCCTGCCGGCGGCCATGCTCCTACCCGCTGCCCGGAGTCACGTGGACCCTGCCCGGCCGGTCACGGACGCCGACGGCTAGCCGGAGAGGACCAACTACCTCGAGGAGCCGGGCCGCGGACTCCGCCGGGTGCCCGGAAGTCGCGGCGCTCGTCCTGTCGGCAGCAGCTGTCCAGTGGCTGCCCGGGGGCTGCCGGGCCTGGTCCCCGCAGAGAGGCGGTGGCTGGAGCAGGTGCCTTCCGGATCACCCTCAGGTCCTCAGCGGGGCAGGGTCAGGTGTGGACGCTGGCGCTGATTGGCCGGGGCGGGGCGGCGGGCGCTGATTGGCCGCGGTGTGTGGACGCCGGCGGGTACAGCCCGCCCCTCGTGCCGCCGCCGCCGCCGCAGCCTGCCAGCCGCTCCGGTCATGGTGCTGGGCCGCGGGCTGCTCGGCTGCTGGAGCGTCGCTGAGCTGGGAGCCGCCTGCGCCCGTCTCGGCCTGGGTAGGTGGGCCGGGGCGGGGCCGGCGCGGGGCCGGGAAGGCCGGGGCGCCCAGGGGCTGGCCTGTCAGGGCCCCGGGGCAGGGCCTGCGGAGGCGAGGCGAGCTGCCCGGCCGGCGTCGTAGCCGGGCTAACGGCGGTTGGGCCGGCCGCGCTCCCCGAGGCGGTGCAGCGCGGGGGCCGCCGAGGCTGACGCTGTTTTTTATTGATACAGGATTGTAAGCCCTCGCTGACGCCGGCGGGCAGGCCGATTGGGGTCGAGCAAAGGCTACCCAGCAGTTGAGTCAGCCTTTGAGAGGGCTGAAGACAGAGTTGGGTAACTTGTCAGCTGGGGGGTGCTAACGGATTTGTGCTAGGTAAGGAAATGTGTGTTGCGGGGGCGCTCGGGGGGCCCGTCTTGGGACGCCTGCCTCCCCGGGGTCTGCCTGGCAGCCAGCTATCGACCCCCTCCTCCCGGACTGCGGGGGTCGAGGGCTCCCCCTCGCGCATCCACCGCCCCCCCCCCGCCCCGCCCCATGCAGCCGCGCACTTCTGAAGCCCTGGGGCGATGCACTCGCGCCTGGATCCGCACGGCCTGCGTGCTGTGTGTGCTCCACGAAGTGGATCCTGGCTTTTCACGTGAACTGTGGCCGGCGAGCTGCTGGACCCTTGCCCTTCCTAGTTCTCCTATCCTAGCGTCTAAAACGGGAGGCGTTGGACGGCCTGACCTCCAGGGCCCTGCTCGGACAGCTGTCAGATTCGATTTTCACCCTATTACCTCTTGCTTGCTTGAAATATTTTGACCTTGATTTTGAAATCGCCTTTTATTTCCTGATACCTTATCGGGCTGATGTAGCAACAGGGGTAGTAGGTTAAGCTGAGATTTTGGAGCAGTGAGCTGAGTGACCACAGCCCTGGGTGGGGAGAAGGAGCAGGTGGAAGCCCTCCTTGGCCATGTCCAGACCTCACCCAGAGCAGAAGGCATCTGGAGTGCATGGTGTGTCACCATATCTAAGGAAAGAGCTGGGTTTTTCCATGTAGGGACCCGTTAAAGGGTCAGCTGAGTTTCTGTGTTGGAGGCAGGCAGGTGGTGCAAATGGGACTGGAGGGGATCAGCAGGAGTGTGGCTGCCTCGTTAAGAGGGGGCCCAGCACTCTGCTGTGGTGAGGAAGGAGCTTCCCAGGTCCAGAGAAGCCGGATGCCGTGTATCTCAAGACTCGGCCCTGACTCTGCTCTGTAGTCCTCCTGGGGCTCAGATGCTGAATACTGGGGCTGAGAGCAGGTGGCATATCCCAGAAACCCAATTGTAGAAAAATAGGTTTTCTTGCCGAGCCTGAGGAGAAGGGCCTGGATAAAGCCCAACTGGTTGTCACACCTCTGTGTCCCTTAACGCTGCAGTTCAGGCAGTTCCCTGGGCATGGTAGATGACTGCGAACTCTGCATTAGAGGTGTCCTGTCAGTCAGCCAGTCAGTCTCTGTCAAGCAAGCAGTCTGTCAGCCAGCCAGTCTATCTGTTAGTCAGTCTGTCAATCAGCCACACTGTCAGCCAGCCAGTCACTCACTCACTCTGTCAGTCAGTCAGTCAGTGTGTGTATGCCGCCCATTTTCTGGATCCCTTTCTTGGAGAGGCCCCATCCCAGCACTGACCTACTCCAGAATCTCACTGCTGTCTTCTGTCACCCTTTGCAATTTTAATCCCTGTCATGCTAAGATTTAAGGTATTATTGGGGCATTCATGAATTTTTAGACTAAATAGGGGCTTCGTTGTGGAAAGTATTTTGGCCCCTGTCTCTGGGGCACAGGATGTTTTTGCTCTGTGGTCACTCCCAGCCCACCCTGGCTGCCTCTTTTGCCTCAGTTGGACAGTGGTTCTGTGTCCTGCACACTGGAGTCTCAAACAGATGTGGCCAGCTCTCCCATATCTCAGGCTGTGGGAGAGGGGGTTTATGCATCATCCAGATTTCAAGTCCCTGCCATTTGGGAGTGAGTCTTCTTTTCTTCTCTGGCGTGTGGCCTGAGAAGGGCAGTGAGTCGCTGCAGGGGCCTCGGGCTCCCTGAGCTCGCAGAGAGGGAGAAGAGCCTGCCTGGCGCTTCCACTCTGGGTTTCCCTCTTTGTCTTTCTCTGAATCAGGTGTGAACAACCCCAGAGCTGACTGTAGGTGCCTCTCACAGAGGTTTGAATTGCAGTCAGGCTGGCTCTCGTGTCCTTTTAGAGCTCTCTAGAAAGAAAAGAGGGACTCTAAGTGTGAAAGAGCCAATTTCCATGAATATGAACATGAGCCGTGTTCTGTATTCTCCTCATGGATGTGGTTAATGAGGGTATCCTCCTCTTTTCTAAGAAAACTTAGAAAACCCCTCACGTTGAGGCTCCGCACATTGCGTCCCTGGGACATTGCTTCCGCGGATGCCTGTCCTTCGGGGCTGAGCGCTGGCTTTGAAGTCTTGGCCCAGCGTGGCCTCGTGTGGACGCTGACTGGAACTGCACTTTGTCTTCAGGTCCAGCCCTGCTGGGAAGCCTCTACCACTCGGGTTTAAGGAAGAGCTTGACCGTGGATCAGGGCGCCATGAAGGTGGAGTTACTGCCTGCTCTGACCGACAATTACATGTACCTGCTCATTGATGAGGACACCAAGGAGGCGGCCATTGTGGATCCAGTGCAGCCCCAGAAGGTGGGAGGCCAGGCCTAGCACCCCTTTTCCGTCTCCTGATGAGTTCGATAACCCAGGGCCCTTGCAACCCGGCCAAAGCTAAACAGGATTTAACCCATTTGGTTTTTGAAAAAGGAACTAGTGTCCCGCCACTCAGTTATCAGGGCAAAGGAGCAGTGAGGGGCTGGAGGCCACCAAAGGCTTTGGTGTGTTGAGGAAAGGGCTCCTGCGTGCAGAGAACCTGGGCAGGAGAGGCAGGGGCCCTTCCAGCACTGCTGCCTCCTCCAGGCTTTGTGCCCCTTGGCACACTACCTTTAGGGGGTGGTCTTGGCTGGAGGGGCTTGGAGAGGTCGTGTGGAGCCTGAGCTGCCCCACGGATCACGAGAGAAAAGGCTTCCTCGTCGCCCTGCCCTCCTGGAGGCGGGGCAGGCAGGCCAGCTCGCCGGGCACCCCCACCTGCAGGCCGATGGATGGGCCGGGGCCGGGGCGTGACTGGCCTGTGCGCTGCCGCCTGTTTGGTTGCAGGTGGTGGAAACGGTGAGGAAGCACGGCGTGAAGCTGACCACAGTGCTCACCACCCACCACCACTGGTGAGTGCTCCGGGGCCCAACCTCCCCTGGGCCTCACAGCTGTGCTGCCCATGCCCCGAGGAGGAGCGGCCACCGGGCGGGTGGGCCAGGGCATGCAGGTTCCTGGGGGACCTCCACGGGGGGCCTGGCAGCCCTTCTCCCCTCCGTGGTTGTGAGCTGAGGGTCAGCTCCAGCAGTGCTCTGACGGGGCTTCCGGGCACCCACCTCTGTGCTGCTGCCCCGCATCCCTCAGGCCTGGCGACTCGGGTCCCTGAGGGCAGAGACTCAATCATGCTGGGGTCCTGGGGCTATGGGTGGGCCTCTAGCAACATCTTTGCAAGCTCTTGAACTTGCGTGGTGGGAAGCTGGCCTCAATGTTGGAAAATAAACTGGTCTAGACATTAGTGTTTTTGAAAATCAAGCTGTCATTTTTGAAGAGTTTGTGATTTTTTAGATACTTGAAAGCTAAAGGATGGAAAAAGCTCTGATGTTTGGATCTTAGGTCTAGAGTTGCCTGCCCAGGGCCCTATTGGAACTTTTGAGGCTTTTCAAAGCTAGGAAAAAAATCTTTACTTGGCTCTGAATATTCTTTTCCAAATAACTGCCCAAGGGCAGCGAGCGTCTTTGAACCTGCTCCTGTGGCACTTGGCCGAGCTCGGGGCGTGACCTGGGATAAAGGGAGGCCTTCCAACATCTGTGGGAGTGTCGTGTGGATGCGGTTAGCCAGTCTGTTAAGTGTTGGAAACTTGCTGGTTGATGTCACTGCGGCCCTTCGGGATGGCTCAGCCTCCGGGGCCTCAGGCGTTACTTCCTGATTTAGGGGCTCAGGCCTGCGGCGGCTCCTGGCTGCCCTGTGGTTACTCTCGTGAGCTCTGCCTAGTGTGGCCTCCGTGAGCTGCGGGGCCCCTGCCTCCCGACTTCCCCCAGTGCGACTCTCTTGCACTGAGCACCCCCTGCGTCACATGTGGCTTTTCCCACATTGGGGTGCCTTACAAACTAAACCAGGCCCCAAAGTGAGCTGCAGGGTGTGGCCCACGCCAACCTGCCACTTCCAGGCGGCGTTTCCCAGGTCAGCGCTGAGTGTGCTTCGCGTCTGGCCCGGCCTGCATGTATCAGCCCGGCAAGGAGGGGCTGAGGGCGGCCTGCTCTTATCTCGGAGCCCTGCTGTGGCGGGGCCTGTGGGTCAGTGTGTAGTGAGGAGCAGGTGTGCCCTGGCGATTGGAAAGCCCCCGCCTTGGCCTGGAAAGGCTAATCTTCAGGTGCAGGACACCCCCGCCCTGCCCCGCGTTCAGGGCCCCACAGGGCTTTCCCTGGTGAATTTCTCCCCCAGCAAGGCTGTGGCCCGGAGCCCTTCTCTTGAACTGGGCGGCGTGGGGAGCTCCTGTGTGTGTGTCCAGGGGGCACCTCGCCACTGGCTGCACCATCGAGGCTCCTGGGGAGGTCATTCTGCGCCGGCCTGTCCCTTGGTGACACTGCCCCCTGGCAGCTGGGTGGTGGTGGTTTAGATCTGCTCGGAGTGGGCCCATCTGGGCTGTGACTCCGAGTTACCTGACGGCTTTTAAAACTCAGCCTGCAGGGCGCCCAGGGCATCAGGGTGCCCAGGGCATCAGCGCGTGTGGCTGGGAGTCAGGCCTCGGTGTTCCCAGACCCCAGGTGACTCTGGTGTGCCTGGAGTCTGGGAGCTGGGGGCACAGGGATTATTCAGGGGTGTGCAGTTTGCTCCATCAGCACGGCGGCGGCGTGGTAGGGGCCTCTGGTGGGGACGGGTTGTCTGAGAACATTCACTCAGCAAAGCCACATGGTGGACAAGAACAGGAAGAAACATTTCTACTTCAGAGAAACATAGCTTGGCAAAATAAAAACTCCATTTGGTCGGGGTGTGGAAGTGGGCACACCCCCATTGTATCAGCAGCAGCCCCAGCTGCCCCTTTCTGACCTCCAGGGACCACGCTGGCGGGAACGAGAAGCTGGTCAAGCTGGAGCCTGGGTTGAAGGTGTACGGGGGTGATGACCGGATTGGGGCCCTGACTCACAAGGTCACACACCTGTCCACACTGCAGGTGAGGAGTGATTGACAGCAGGGCTCAGGTGGGCTGTGCCCGCCTCCTCCTGGTGGTCCCCTGGCTCGCCCCACTGAGGGCTCAGCTGTGGAGACAGGCCCGCCTGCACACAGGTGGACGCGCTCTGGGGCCTGCCTGGCCTGGACAGTGCCTCTGCAGAGAGTCTGGTGAGCAGGTCAGTGTGCAGATGGTGACTGGCTGAGGGAGAAGCCAGACGCATGGTTTTGGGACACCTGGTGGTTTAGTCACTAAGTCGTGTCCGACTCTTTGTGACCCCATGGACTGTAGCCCGCCAGGCTCCTCTGTCCATGGGCTTCTCCAGGTAAGAATACTGGAGTGGGTTGCCATTTCCTCTTCTAGGGGATCTTCCTCACCCAGGGATCGAACCTGGGTCTCCTGCCTTGCAGGCAGATTCCTTACTGACTGAGCCACCGGGGAAGCCCTTGAGATGCCTGGGGACACTGAAATACAGACTCTGGGATTCTCTTTCACATCAGTGGTGGATTTCTTGGGAGGGCACGACAGTGAGGTTATATGGCAGGGCGGCCTTTTCTCAGGAGAGGCAGCTGGGCATCTGGGGCAGCGTGTCAGGACGTGTGTGGACAGCAGCTGCCGCACAGGTGGGCCTGTTAGCATTTGGTGACCCAGGCAGAGCGCACACAGAAACATCATTTCAGATTTGGGTGGGTTAGAACGTTTCTGAAGTAAAGGCTGGGGCTGGGGTGGAGTTGGAGAAGGGAACAATAGGCCAGGCAACTACGAGAAAACCGTCTTCCCAGCAAGACGCCTAGCTCAGACTTGGCCTGGCTCTGAGGAGACGACAGGACCAGCCCCCTGGTTGGGCACGCCAGCAAACACCGGCTCATGGGGGTCCCTGCACCTCTGGGCCTGGGTCCCATGGTCACCGCAAGGTCCACCCTGTAGGGCGGAGCAGCGGCCACGGAAGGCCGATCGCCCTGGATGGCAGCTCACGCTGCCATCATGGGGGGCTGGCGGGGTCTGGGAGAGCCCGCGAGCCTGCAGACGGGCCCCTGCACGCAGGGACACAGGCCTGTGTGCTGTTTCAGGTGGGGTCTCTCAGCGTCAAGTGCCTGTCGACGCCGTGCCACACTTCTGGACACATCTGTTACTTTGTGACCAAGCCCAACAGTCCCGAGCCGCCTGCTGTGTTCACAGGTGAGTGTAGCGTTCCCAGGTGTGAGCTGCGGGGCTGGGCAGAGCAGAGAGCATGTCCTGCCAGGCAGACTTCTGGGCTGGGCTCTGCATGGACCTCAGCGCTCGGGGTGGAGCCTGGGCCTCGGCGCAAACACACCCAGGGGCCGGGCAGCCCTGGTGGGCCCTGGGCGGAGTGTCCCCTCCCGGCTGGGCTTCCATCCCATCTCCAGGGCCCTGGGAGCTGTGATCCTGTGTGAGGGGTCCCTGGAGGGTCCAGGTGGGGCCAGTGAGGTTGTGGGCATTTGGCAAGATGGTGCTGGCTGTCAGAATTAAGGGGTCACAGGACGGCCTGGCCTGGGAGGGGCTTCAGGACAGGTGGGGAAAGACTTGGGTTTTGTGGGTGGTCTCAGAGCCAGCGCTGATAGGAATGGGCAGTGAGGGGGGCAGCCGGGCTTGCGTCTGAGCAGCTGTTTGGGGCCTGGTGGGGCCAGTCAGTGCGGCGGGAGGCTAAAGGCGTGGAGAGGGTGGCACCCAGACTCGGGGGGCCCTGGGCCCTGGCGGGTGGGGGGCAGGTCCGGGGCTGTGGCCGGGTCAGCACAGGGGGCAGAGAGGAGCCCGGCCGTGGAGCTGAGCAGCGGCCCAAATGGGGGTGTGCATGGCCCGCAGCCCCCCAGCTCCACGCTGTCCTGCCTCACAGGTGACACCTTGTTTGTGGCTGGCTGTGGGAAGTTCTATGAAGGGACAGCAGATGAGATGTACAAAGCCCTGCTCGAGGTCCTGGGCCGGCTCCCTCCAGACACGGTAGGCAGTGTCCTGTCTGCTCGCCGGTGGCAGCAAGGCCCTGTCCCCTCACCTCCTGCGGAGCCCGCGGGCCAGCTCCCCGCCCCTGGGGTCTCACGAGCCTTCCTGCATGGGGAGGAGCAGCACAGCAGAAGCATCGCTTCTGGAAGCGCGTGTTTCCTTAAATGCACTTTTTATTGTCATTTAACATACACGCCTGCAATGCAGGAGATGTGGGTTCAGTCCTTGGGTTGGGAAAATCCCATGGAGGTGGAATGGCTTACCCACTCCAGAATTGTTGCCTGGAGAATCCCATGGACAGAGGAGCCTGGTGGGCTGCAGTCCATGGGGTCACAAAGGGTCAGACACGACTGAGTGACTGACACAGATGCGACACGCACTCAGGACGTGTGCTTATCTTGAGGGACATCTCTTGGGTGCCGCCCCCGGACGGGCCCAGGCCCCTCACGCTGTCTCTGAGGGGCTGGAGGGCAGGTTCACAAGCCTCCGCAGAGCTGGCGTGTTTGGCTCTGTCCTCAGAGAGTGTACTGTGGCCACGAATACACCATCAACAACCTCAAGTTTGCTCGCCACGTGGAGCCCAACAACACCGCCATCCAGGAGAAACTGGCCTGGGCCAAGGTGAGCAGGCTGCAGGCGGGGGGTCCTGTGGGCTGGGTGCCCTGAAGCCGCTTCCTGGGAGCACGGTGCTCACAGCGTTGGCTCCAGAGCGGGCGGAAAGGGCCCCTCGGGAGAGCGGGCGGCAGCAGCCCAGGTGGGTTCCAGCCCAACGCAGAGCCAGAGCCCTGGCTGTCTCCTTGAGATCCTTTCTGACTCGAGGGTCTGGGCTGGGCCTGGGATCCTTTTCAGCCAGCAGCCAGGGGGAGCTGAAGCAGCAGGTGCCAGCCCCTGTCCGCCTGGGGAGACCACCTTGGAGGCTGCTTGTCTGAAAGGCATCATTTCCGCCTCGGCCCCCAGCGTGCCCTGTGGCTCGTCCCAGGGTCGCGTGTGTCCTGCAGGTGTCCTCTGTAATTCTCAGACTAAAGATCTTGTGCACATTGTCAAAGGTGTTCCTAAATAGTTCACGTATATGGGTTTTATTGGAAATGATTATCGAGTCTTTAGAAATATTGATTTTTGTATTTTGACATTGCGTCCTTGTGACTTTGCTTGACTTAGTCTAGCATCTTTTTCATAGATTCCTTAGCACACAATCATGCCATCAACATTAAGATAGTTTTGTTTTTTCCTTTCCAATATGTTTCCAATATACATTTAGTTATTATTTTGCCTTATTGCACTGGCTTAGGTCTTCAGGACAGTGTTAAGTAGACATGGTGAGAGTGGACACCTTTGGCTTGTTCCCAGTCTTAGGGGGAAAGCATTCAGTTTTTCACCATGAAGCTAATTATTTTAGTTGTGAGTTTTTTAAAAATTCTCTTTATCAAGTTGATGAAGTTCACATATGTTCCTGGTTTTCTGAGAGTTTAGTCATGAGTAGATGTTGAATTTTGTTAAATGATTTTTCTTCCTCTATTATGTAATCATGTATTTTTTTTCTCCCTTACTCTTGTTAATGTGGAGAAGTATATCAGTTGGTTTCAAATGTTACACCAACCTTGCTTTCTGGACAAACCTTAGTCATGGTGGTGTCTATTTTTGTGTTTGTGTTCTTAAGAGATATTGGTCTGTAGTTTTATTTTTTTGTCATGTCTTTGGTCTTAATATGAAGGTAAAGCTGGCCACAAAAATAAGAGTTGGAAGTGCCTCCTCTTGTTTACTGAACTTTTCTGTGGTTGTTATTATTTTTTCCTTTAGGTTTGTTAGAAATCACTAATGAAGCCTTCTGGACACTGAATTCTTTTTTGTGGAAAGATTTTTTTTGTTATGAATTGATGTTTTTAATTTGTGTAGGGCTGTCAGATTTTCTTCTGGGCTACCTTTTCTTGATTTAGTTTTGTTAGCAGCTAGTGTCTTTCAAGGAATTTCAGCAAGGTATTCAAACTTATTGACAGTTTTCATAGTTTCCCTTTTTATTTTCAAGCTTGTTGGAAGTTTAGTTCACATGTAAGAAATTGCACCCATTTAAAATGAAGAACTGAGTGAATTTTGACAGATTAAGTGACTCCCACTATTTAAGATTTAGAACATCTCCACCCCCAAAAGCTTCCTCATGTCTCGTTTTCTCTGCCTTGCTCTAGGATGCCACTAGAACTTAGTTCACGTTTTCTAGAATTTCATATAAATGAAACTATACAGTGTACTCGTCTTTTTTTTTTTTTATGAAGCAGAATAATTTTGAGATTCACTCATGTGAATGAACTGCAGGTATCAGTTCATTCCTCTTCATTGCTGAGTGGTATTCCTTTGTTTGACCATACCACATTTTGCTCATCCATTCACCTGCCAACAGACATTTTCTGGTTACTGGCCATTGTGAATAAAGCCGCTGTGAACATCTCTGTGCAGGGCTTTGTGTGATATGTGGTTGTGTTGTTTTATTTCCCCACCAGTGAAACAGGAGAGCTTCGGGTGTCCCACGCCCTCACCAACCCTTGGTACTGCCGATCTTTTCATTTTAGCCATCTTCCTGCGTAGGCAGTAGTGTTTCACTGTGGCTTTAATTTGTTTCCTTAGCGCATAATAACTTTGACCATCTTTCCATATGCTTATTGGTCATTTTGTTTAGTGTTTGTTCAGATTTCCTCCCCATTTAAAAAACTGGATTGTCTTCTTGTTGAATAATGAGTTTTTTTTTTAAGTTTATGCTATATACAAGTTCTTTTCAGATATGTGTATTGTGAAGTTTCTCGTTCTGTGACTTGCCTTTAACTTTATCAACAGTGTCTTTTCCAGAGCAAGCAAATTTTTTTTACATTAAATTTTGATGATGTACAGCATGTTTTCTTTTGTAGTTCATATTTTTTATCTCCCATTTAAGAAAGCTTTGCTTTGCCAAAGTTAAAAAAAAAAATCTCCTTTTTTTGGGGAAGCTTTATAGTTTTAACTTTTAGATCAGTATGATCTAATCCACCCCCTCCAATATCTGCTAGATCTGTAGTGATCTCCCCTCTTTTATTTGGCTGTACTGAGTCTTAGTTGCTGTTGGCGGGATCTTTAGTTGCAGCATGTGGGATCTAGTTCCCTGACCAAGGATCAAACCTGGGCCCCCTGCATTGGGAGTATGGACTCAGCCCCTGGACCACCAGGGAAGCCCCTGAAGGCGTCTTGATGCCACTGCTCACAGTGTGGGTGGGAGTGGGACCCTTGGGAATGAGGGCCCCTAATGGTCAGGAAGCCTGCGTGTGGCTTTTGACAGCGGCTGTCCACTCCTGGGCCCCGTGGCCCTCAGGGCGAGCCCAGCAGTAGAAGGGCAGGGGCTGCGGGGAGGGTGGAGACCCTCAGCTATTAACTCTGACCTGCTTCCTGTAGGCGTTTCTATAGCATGAACAGTTGGCCAGACATCCCCGTTTGCATCTTCTCTTCATCTGCCCTGGTCAGTGTTGATCAGGAGCGAGGGCGTCCCGAGTGGAGGTGACGAGCTGTCTGAGCACCCCGTGATGACAGCCGCCCTCTGGGGGGATGTCACCCCAGGGAGGGATCCCAGGAACTGGTTGCTGCACCGTTCTTGGCAGTGAGACGCTCACGAACCACGTACTGTCCTGGGGGTGGGGCTGTAGTTTCTGTTTCCTGCCTTTTTGCTGGTTATGACTTCTTTAATACAAAACATAAGCTTTGTATTAATGACAAGAAAGGCCCCCGTCCCCCTGCACCTCTGGGTCATGGTGGCGGTCGGAGCACTCGTGCCCTCTCCATGGGCAGGGACGGTCCTGTGTTCATGCTGACCGTGTGCTCACTGGATCTTCTCAGGCAGACGACGTGTGAAGGCTTGCTCAGTCATCCCCTTTAGAAGCTTCCGCACTAAAGCGACCCACTTGTCTTGCAGGAGAAGTACAGCGTTGGGGAGCCTACGGTGCCGTCCACCATTGCCGAGGAGTTCACCTACAACCCGTTCATGCGCGTGAGGTGAGGGCGTGGGGCCCCTGCTGCGTGCAGGCACCCGGGAAGGGTCCACGCCCCTGAGTCTCCTTAAAGCACGGCCAACGAAGCAGATGCTATTTCTCAAAGCGGGCACTGTTCTTGGTGCCCCGGAGAGGGTGTGGGTCCTTTCTGACCCTGGGTCCCCATCAAGAGGTGATGAGACTTGTGCTCGGGGCACATCCACATGCTGGGTGATGCCGGACGTGTGTGGAGCGGGCGTCGCTGGGTCACAGCAGGACTGGCTCGGCCAGCACGTCTCCCGCAGTGACGAACGCCTGGGCTGTCCACTGGCTGCCGCCGCCTCCAGGCTCTTTTCTTCCTGGTGCCCTGGGAGGGGCAGTGGGGCCGTGGTCTGGGGTGCAGCCTGGCGCTTGGCTTCACAGGGAGAAGACGGTGCAGCAGCATGCGGGCGAGACGGACCCCGTGACCACCATGAGGGCCATCCGCAAAGAAAAGGACCAGTTCAAGGTGCCGCGCGACTAGGCGGCCGTGGGCCTCCTGGGCACTCAGATGTGCCGGGTGCCTCTCCGGCCACGACTGCAGGAAGCTCAGTCTCAGTTTAATTTTAAATTAATTGCAGAGCGCTTTGCTTGTGTTATCAAATGTTCTAATGCATATTTATAAGAGAAGAAGTTTAGAAAGTGTGTATTCCTGGGAGCTCTGCTTGCAGACCGTGTGTTGTCGCCGACCTTTCCATGGGCGCCCCCACGGTTGCCGTGTGAAGCCCCCACATGACACCCCAGGAAGAGCTGCCCCCTCTGGCCCCGGCGAAGCCAGCATGCCCTGTTGGGGTGGGTACTCTCCCTTTTCCTGCCCCTGCGAGCGGATGCCTGGCACCACCACCCCCTCCCCGCCCCTCACGGGTTGTGTCCAGGGTCGTGTGTGTGCTGATGTGCAGGGGACCCCAGGCCGGGCGCAGCGTGGGGCGGGGTCTGGGCGCCATCCCTGTGAAGGCCACCCGTCCCGAGACTGTTCCAGGGGCCAGTTTCTGGTCCCACCTGCTGCGGTGATGCCCCCTTGATGCCTCCTCTGGACGGGTCATGGCATGGCCTGGCTGTCACTGTCTCCCTGGATCCCTCAGATCCTGTCCCAGCTGAGCGGGCCTGCGTCACCCCACACCACCTGTGTGGGCTCCTCTCCAACCATGATGCTTTCTCTGTGGAGCCTGAGCTCCCTGGAGACCTGGGGGGTTTGCACAGGCCCTCCTGGCGCTGACCTCGGTCTTGTACCAGTGACTGGACTTGCGGGCGCAGGAGCCTCAGGACGTGCTGCGGCCTCGCGCCGTGAGGGTCGCGGTGGGCACCACGTCCGTCCCTCCAGGCGGCTAGTGTTGGTGGCCCCTCCCAGGGATGCTGAGCTCCGCCAGCAGCACAGCGATCGCACCAGGGTGAGCGCTTCTCCCCGGAACCCGCTGCCAGAGGCCCCTGGCCCCCAGCAGCCTGGGCCTGCGTCGCTCATCTACAGAAACGTGAGGAGGAACACGCATACCATCCTGCTCCCCTCCTCGTCCTCCGAGAGCCCAGGGCGCTCAGCAGGGAGCGCTCCTCTTGGCACAGTTGTGATGGTGCTGCCTCCAGGCGGTGGGGCGCGTCCTCACTCCGCCGTGGCTGGTGCCCTGCAGTCACAGGCCTGGCAGCGGCTGCGCCAGGGACGTGGGGCTTCTCAGCAGCTCCCGCTGCGCTCAGGGCGCCTCCCCACGTGCCAGACCCTCGTCCTCGCTGGTCTGGGGCACAGGAGGCGCTCTGCAGGCTGCTCATGCGTCTGCCTGGCTCCTGACCCCCTTCCACACGCTCATGGGCTGCTGGGATTTCCTTCCTGGGGACCGCCTCTGCTCCAGGGTTTCTTCACTGGTCGCTACCAGTGTTGATCACTAGGAGTCCTGTTTCACGTTGCATATTGTATGGTTTCTTTGTTTCTGCGTGTTTGCAGTCTTCTCCTAGCTTGTTGCCGGTTTCACTCTCTGGTGTCTGTTGAACAAATTCTTGATGTTGTCAAATGTATATTTTTTCCTTCACAAAAAATGTTTTTTGTGTTTAGCAACCTGTTTAGCAACTCTTTCCCACCTCTGATGCCGCCCTATAATCTGACCCAGTGGTTTCTGGTTTGTGGTTCTTGTTGCCGAGCTGTTTGTGCTGGTGTCTGAGGGACTGACGCCTCATGTCCCAGCCCCTCTGTACCGCCCGCCGCCCCAGCAAGCCGGCACCCAGGGGTCCAGCCTGCCACGTGGGCCTCCATCCCGTCCGTCCATCTGTCTGTGCTGACGATGCCTCACAGTCCCTGTTTGGTTCTTCATCCCCAGGACCGCGGCCCAACTTCATCTGTCAAGAGAGTCCTGGCTCTTTGCTCTTCCATGTAAAAACCAGGGTGTTCATGTCTGGGATCTGGGATGGAGTAATGTCCACTCACTAGGCTGGGAAGAAGTGACCTTTTGTGATATGAAGCGTTTCCAATTATGAAGACGCTACTTATCCATCTGCTTGGGTCTCTGGTGCCATGTGTGCTGTGTGTAGGGCTCAGGTCAAGTCTAAGATGTCTCCAGCACCTGGGGGGTCCTAACGCCAGGAGCCGGAAAGTGGGGTGGAAAGGCTGTGGCCGGGCGCAAGGGGCGGGCATAGCAGGGCGGACTGGGCTGTGTTGCCGGGGGTTCCCCGGGCCCTGGAGGGCCGCAGGAGGGCTGGGAGCTGCTGGCGCGTCTGCCGGCCCAGCACACACTCCTCAGGTCGTCAGCTTCCGGTGCCCAGTCACTGCGTTGCCAGGCCCCGTTTCCTCAGCACGCTCTCTCCTCTGGGTCTGGAGATGAGAAGGGAACCTGGAAGCCTCCTCACTGCTGGGGGAGTCTATAGAGAAGGAGATGCTAGCCTGAGCCTGGTGCATTCTGTTGTGGGAATTTTAAAAACCGTGATCCCGTTGTTTAATGGTGAGAAGAGCTGTTGCCTCCTTCAGCCACTTTTGGCAGGCTACTTCCTTTCCTCCGTTTTCAAATCCAGCCTGCTGTGTTCTCTCGTCTCTGCCATGGCGTTCATCTTCCCTGCCCCTTCCAAGCAGAGCCCATTGCTTTCTGTCCTCTGGCTTCAGGATCCTGCTTCCTAGCTCCTCAGGGGTCTCTCATTCTTCCTCCTGAGTAAAAAAGGAGAGGCTTTTCCTGGACCATCCCCTTCTAGGGACATTGGTTCTTAGTTGGGGCAGCAGAGACTCCTGGGGAAGAACTGGATCTTAGATCTGGTAGTGAGCCTGGCCTGGGTGCTGTGGATCCAGAAAGGAAGGCTGGTCCTGCAGCCGGCTGCCCCCAGGGTATGCGCACCTGATTTTCTCTGGCTCTGAAGCTCAGAGTCATCTTATTCTTGGTCAGCATATTTTCTTAAGCCAGAATCTTGACTTCTTAAGGTCCCAATAATCTCTCTTTTCTTTTCTCTTATATCTGTTCTAACAATCTTCTATTGAAGGAATGAGTATGTCATGTTTACTTTAAATGGGCAAAACTGAAAGGTAAAATGGGTACTTTAGCATTAATGGAGATTCTTTCATAGTCCAGTTGATGGCAGGCATTATCACTCAACCAAACCTACTTACAGAACATCCCACCAACATTTCCAGGAGCTCATGGAACATTCTCCAGGACAGATGATATCTTCAACCCACAGATCATGATGAATTCTAAAAGAACATACTTTGTATAATTCCAAACTCCAGTGACATTAGATATCTACAACACAGTGAAGTCTGGAAAAACCCAAATGTTTGGAAGTTAACACATCTAACTACTGTGTGCATCAACCAGAAGGGAAATGAACACAAAATTTGTGGGACACAGCTAAAGCAGTGCTCAAGGGAAACATAGCTTTAAACAGCTGTATCAGAAAAGGCCTCAAAAAACCTGGGCTTCTGCCTTAAAACACAAAAGGAGAGAAAATAAAACCCAAAGGAAGCAGAAATAATGATTAGCAAGGAGTCAGTGAAACAGAAAACCGGTTTTTTGCTGACCAACAAAATAACACACGAATTACCAAAATCATGATTTTTGAAAAGGGGCACATCCTATCAATCCTAAAGAAATGAACAGAACTTGTAAAGGAATACTAGGGAAACTGTACCAACAAATTAGATGAAATGGACAAATTCCTTAAATTGATCTAACAAAAGTCTTAAGTCTTCATGCAAAAACATGCTCAGGGCCACATGGCTTCACCAGCGCATTCTATCAGTAATGCTAATACTCACTCACAAGCTCTTCCAGAAAACACAGGAGGGGACACTTCCCAATTCATTCTATGAGGCAGTTATCCCAATACCCAACAAAACCAGAGATCAACGTCCCTCATGAACACAGGTGTAAAGTCTTTAAAATGTTAGCTATCAGAATACCATGACATTCCACACCATAGGCAGGTGGGATTTATAACAGGAACACAACATTGACTGAACATCTAAAAGTCAGCGTAATAAACCACAGTCATAGAACAAAGGACAAAATCATCTCGATGGATGCAGGAAAACGTGATGAAATCCCACACCCGTTTGTGGTTTTTTTAAAAAAAAAGTCAAACCAGGAATCGAAGGGAGCCTCTTGGAATTGATAAAGGACATCTACTTAATCTCCAAACACTGCTGTATCAAGTCATGGCAACTCAGTTGTTTGAAGTGGCACAGATGTATCTCCTGCCAGTCCGGAGGTCGGAAGTCAGTTAGGAGTCCCCCTGAACTGTCAGCAGAGCTGGTTCCCTCTACTCCAGAGGAAGACTCCGTTTCCTTGCCCTTCCCTGCTGTGTGAGGCGCCTGAGTCCCTGGGTCCTGACCCACCTCCTCCATCTTCAGAGGTCAGCAGCTGGGGGCCGAGTCCTCTCACGGCCCCACAGTGGCCTCGTCTGACCCTTTAATCCACTCCAGAGATTGCCTGGAATTACAGTGGGGCCACCTGGAAATCCACGTTCATCTTATTGTCTCCTGGTCAGCTGATCAGCAGCCTCAGCTCCGCTCTGCCACATGACCCAACATATTTGTGATTCCAGGGATAAGGACACGCACTTCGGTGGCTGGGAGCACTTTTCTGCCTGTGACCCTGTGGATCAGAGACGTAAGCCAGCATCGTTATTCACGGTCAGTGATGGAATGCTATTCACTGAAGTCAGGAACACAGCAAGGATCTCTGCTTTTGCCACAGAAGGCAGCACACACTGGAAAGGAGAAGGGCAGAGTGTCCTTATTCACAGATGGTGTGATGTTACATACGGCTTCCCTGGTCGCTCAGCTGGTAAAGAATCCGCCTGCACTGCAGGAGACCTGGGTTCAATCCCTGGGTTGGGAAGATCCCCTGGAGAAGGGAATGGCTACCCACTCCAGTATTCTGGCCTGCAATAGTCTATATAGCGCATGAGGTTGCAAAGAGTTGGACACGACTGAGCAATGGCTTATCCTAGGGATCCAGCTACACACACACATCTGGGACTAATTAGTAAGGTCCTGGGATACACGATCAACAAAAGAAACCTGTATTTGTACATACTGAAGGCAATCTGAAAATGAAATTAAAAGAACTCCACTCAGGGACTTCCCTGGTGGTCCAGTGGCTAAGAGGCCACACTCCCAATTCAGGGGGCCTAGGTTTGATCCGTGGTCAAGGAAATAGATCCACATGCTGCAATTAAAGATCCTGCATGTCACAACTAAAGATCTCACACACTACAGCTAAGACCTGGCACAGCCAAATACATACATATATATACACACATGTATATATGTGTGTATATATATGTATATTTTAAGAACCAAAAAACGGCTCCATTCATATAGCATCAAAACTCATAAAGTACTTAGAAATTATCAAAAGTAGTACAAGATTTATATACTGCAAACTACCAAAAAAAAAAAAAAAACTGCTAAGAGAAAGAAAATGTAAATAGATTCTATATTCCTTAATTAAAAGATTTTTGTGATCTTGGATTAGGCAAAGAGTTTAGACACCACATCAAAGTCATAAGCCATGAAAGAAAAAAACTGATACACTGGACTTAATTAAAATAAACTCTTACTTCAAAAGACAACAGCAAAAAAGAGCGGCAAGCCACAAACAGAAAAATATCTGCAAATGCTATCCTTGACAATCCATAAATATAAAGTCATGTCTATAATGTTCAGTGTAACAACTCAGTAAGGAGACAGTTAAAAAATGGATGAAAGTCTTGAATAGACACTGTGCCAAAGAAGATATAAAAATGCTAATAAACACATGAAAAGGTGCCCAATATCAATCGTCAGAGAAACACAGAAGGGCTCAAAACCAAAACAGAGCAAAGCCGACTGTACCAAATAGCAGTGAGGATGTGGGACCGGACTCTCACAGTCTGTAGAATTACACAGTCGTTTTGGAAAACATTTTTTAAAAACATAAAATACTATGTGAACCAGTAACTCCACTGGTAAGAATCTACCCAACAGGAGTGAAACCTACATCCACACAAACGCTCACGGCAACATTATCCATAGTAACCCCAGAGAAACCAACCAGACATCAATCATCTGAGGTACGAGTAAACGGACATTACCCAGTCACAACGAGGAATGAAGTGCCGATGCACACTTTGTGGATAGCCCTGAGAGGACGCTCAGTGAGCAAGGGGGGACGCAAAGGGCGCCTGCTGCCCGGGAACGTTCCAAAACCACCCGTGCATGCGCCTGCACCGCAGTACACACTTGCTGAGAATCACTGAGGTGTGCGGTGTGTTGACGGGTGGATTTTATGGTGTGAGAATTGTTATCAGTAAAACTGTTTTAGAAAAAAAAAACTGTTGGGTAAAGGCATCACAGTTGATACTTTATTACATTATCCCAGCATACTTCTAGAAAAACATTTCAGCCTAGACAAAATGAAATGGAGGAAAAAGTGTAACAATCACAGTATCAAAAGTAACAACCATCCATAAAACCAAACATTAAAAACCATTTAAAGTCAACCATTAAAAAAAAAATTTTAATATATGAGAGATCACACAGAAATCTACACAAATACCAGGGAGAGAAACTGAAGAAGGCCTAATTGTGCCATGTCCACACTGGAAGGGAGGACTCAAAATGCAACACAGGTCAAAACCGGACAGGCGGTTGTCATGGACATGTGACAGGCTGTGCCCCTTGTGGACAAGGAAGAGGCCGGAAGCCCTGCAGACGGAGAAGGGTCTGCTCTGCCTCCAGAGTTCAGGGGGAGCCCAGAGAGGGCCCAGCTACTTGGACCCTGACCATGGCAAGCTGGTGCCTGAGAAGGAGGAGGAAGGGAAAGCTACCGCTCCAAATGTGGGGAGGCGGCTGTAAGCCACCAGGAAGAATGAAGCTCAAACGCCAGCTCACTCTTAGGAAGCGAGAGAGAGGGGACATCCTGAGGCCACCTCAGAGAAAAGACAGGGATGGGTCCACCAGGTCTTTTGAGAATACACTCAAGTCCACAGGCGGAATGGGGCCTGACACCGCGAGGAGCTTGATACATGCATCAGCCTAGATTAAAAAGCTTTTCTCCCCGCAGTTCTTCCATTTAAGGAGCATCTTATGAGGCCACATTAAAATTAAGAACTCTCACCAGAATCACAATGAAGAGAATGGAGAGGCAGACCACGGTGCCGAAGACAGGACCACTGGCCACACACACCTGACAAGGGGCTTGCATTCAGAACACGATTTAAAAAAAAAGTCATACTGACAGCACCCAAATAAATCAGCAAGAGACTGAAACACGTACTTTACAGGAGACAACAGCCCACTGGGCAATGAGTCTCTGAAGTGTTGCCTGCTGTCACTGGCGACTGAAGGAAGGAAAGACAGTGACGGCCCCTGTCCACCCACCTTTGGGCTGAGAGTAGACAGGGTGGGCTGCTGTTGAGGCCCCCGGGCCCCAGGAGGGGTGTGTGCTACCTGCCAGGACGACACACCCTGGTCCCAGCAGGTCCACTCAGGACACAGAAACGCGCACGGGCCCCTCAGGGTTGCAGCCCCACAGCAGGAAGCAGGGAGGGGTCTGCAATGTGGCACCATGTCCATGAAGACCAGAAACCAGACTCCACAGGGGGCCCTCGGGGTCAAGTGGAAAGAGGCCAGGGCAGTAGTCATCCTGGGTCAGGACAGGCCACCCGGGCGGCCAGGACAGAGGTCTTCTCCCAACTCAGCGGGCTGACCACCAGCGCTACTGCAGGACTTGGGCAAGGCTTACAGAGGGCTAGCCCAGCTGCCGCAGTCCTGATGGGTTCCCCGCCACACACGCTCCCCGGGGATTTACAGGAAGTCCCACCCCAGCCCTGTAGGTGTCAGGGGACAGGCGCTGGCCGCTTGCCGGGCTGGGAGCTTTTTGGTGCAGAGGCCCCGGGGCCTGCTGAGTCCGCACTTTCTACTGTGTAAATGCGTGTTTGCCCTGTAAACTTCTGGGTGTGGACTTTCTCCCTGCAGATCTATAATTTCTCAGAAGAGAAGCTGAGAGATGACCTGGAAAAAAATCAAAGCTCGATAAATGGAGGAAGACAAATCCAGTCCCTGAGTCATGGCATGAGCGGGGGAGGGGCCACGAGGCAGAGGATTTCTGGGCCCCGTGGCTCCTGCCTTACCCCCAGCCCCCCTCCTCGGGCTCACCGGGAGGCCTCCACAAGCCTAGCCTTACCCACATGTGCTTCCACCTTTTTCAAGCCCTGCTGACACAGGCCCTCCACCCCAGGCAGAGGAGAGGAAGGGGTGGGCGGGCGCAGCAGCCACGGGCAGGGTCCTGGTGAAGGGGAGGGGTGGCTGGAGCCCAGCCTGGGGACGTGGCTGGGTCTGGAGGAGCGAGGCCAGGGCCACCCACTGGAGCAGCCTCCCACGACTGACCTGGGGCTGACCTCAGGCCGGACACTGGGCCCCCCCACCCCCGCAGCCTGCACAGTGCGGGGTGGCCATGCCCTGCGGGTGCCCCAGAGGACAGGATGGGGCCTGCTGCTGCGGGGGCTGGTCTCATGGCCCTGGGATCTGGTCCCTGAGGCCAGGCCGCCCCCAACTCTCCTCCCTGGAGAACAGGGCCGGGAAAGCAAACAGAGCACCCGGCCAAGCATTCCTAGAAGAGGCTGGGGGTGGGGCACAGCCAGACAGCAGCTGACCCAGAGGTCACGGGAGAAGTGGAGGCTGGGCTGGGCCTGGGAGCTGACCGAGGACCCCACCCAAGGGGGGAGGAATGGGTGGGGCGTGGTCAGTATTCGGCTGACCAGCAGGCCCAGCTTAACTCCCACACAACCATCGGCTGGGCAGGGAGCCCCCAGGAGCCCCCGAAGGGCCCCCACCACCAAGCAGGGGGCGGATGAACACTAGCGCCTCACAGGCTGCTCCAAGGGAGACCCCCGCCCAGCACTGCCTGCAGCCCCAGCTCCGCGGCCAGGCCTGCAGGGGGATGGGTGGCGGAGGGGGGGAGCCATGACGATGGGGGATGGGCCCGCAGGCCTCAGAGCTGCCCCCGGGGGCGCGGCGGGCAGACGCCGCCCCCAGCCTGGCCCCTGTGCCACCTGCCCCCCGCCCCGCTCTCAGAGCCGCTGCTGGCACCCGGCAGGAGGGGGTTAACGGCGCCGGGGCCAGCAGCTGGGCTGGCCGGTGACACGGGTGCTGGCTGCCCCGCGGAGGGGAAATCCAGAGGGTAGGAGCAGCGGCCCAGCAGACACCCCGCTCCCGCTCAGCACGAGGGATGGCCCCGAGGAGAGGTGAGGCTCCCGCGGCCCCGCCACTTGCCCGGGGGTGACCAGCCCGTGCCCCCGGCCCACTAGGGTAGGGGCTGCCCCCGGGAGGGCTTCACTCTGGGAGCCCACGGGGGAAGCGTGGCCAATCATCCAGGGGATCTGGCCCTGGAGAGTCACTGTGACTTCAGCCTACCTCCTCTCCCGCCCCAGACGGGGGCGCAGGGGATGCAGGGCCCCACAGCACCCCGGGGCCCCGCCCAGGTCCCCCCACCGCTCGGATGCCAGGCCACGGCCACCCGGTCCCCTTGCAGAGCCTCGCCCACCCCAGCTGCCGAGCCCACCCTGAGACCCGGAGCGCTCAGGGCAGGGAGGGGCCCACTGCGGGGGACAAGCCCAGTGCCCAGTGGAACTTCTGGGGGGCCTTGTGGGGAAGCCTGGCATCCTTTGTCCAGTGATAGAACCAATCTCTGGTGGTCGAGGCTGGCACTCTCCTCTCCCCATGCTGGCGCTGGGCTCAGTCCCTGGTACGTGCCACACACACACCAGGGAGGGGGGCACCCCCGATCGGGGGTCCAACGGGGGCAGTGGGCATCCAGCTCACTGTCCAGGTCCTCAGGGCAGCAAGCGCTTGCCCACCCAGGCCTGCTCCAGAAGCTTCTGTCACTCACACCTTTCTCCAGGCCTGCCTGGCAGCCCAGGCTGGCTCGAGTGTCCACCTTGGGGATGAGGCCGACACACAGCCTAGTGGCCAGGTCCCCGGACCCCAGTTCCCTCTGGTCCTGCACAGTGGAAAGGGCAGCCGGTCTCACCCTGGAGGCCATCCTGGTCCCGCCTACTGACGGGCGGCCCGCATCGCTCGCCCATACCTTCCACTCAGGTTAGCAAGGCCTTCTCTTAACGGGTGCGTGTTGTGGTCCCGGGGTGCAGCTGAGGCCTGGAAGGTCCCATGTCTTGCTCTGACCTGAGTCCCCGTCCCGGGCCTCGTCCCCAAGCCCCTCTCCCCGCAGGAGGCCTGACCCTGGTGGTGCTGCTGGTCTCCTGGGCAGCGCTGGGCCCCCGCGGCCTGGAGGGAGTGGAGCCCACGGCGCCAGCAGACCCCGAGGGCCCACAGTGCCCAGCCGTCTGCTCCTGCGGCCACGACGACCATACAGACGAGCTCAGCGTCTTCTGCAGCTCCCGGAACCTCACGCGGCTGCCTGGGGGCCTCCCGCCTGGCACCAGGGCACTCTGGCTGGATGGGAACAACTTCTCCTCCATCCCCACGGCCGCCTTCCGCAACCTCTCGGGCCTGGGCTTCCTCAACTTGCAGGGCAGCGGGCTGGCCAGCCTGGAGCCGCAGGCGCTGCTGGGCCTGCGTGGCCTGTGCCACCTGCACCTGGAGCACAACCGGCTGCGTGCGCTGGCAGCCCACACCTTCCTGCACACACCCGGCCTGGCTTCGCTCGGCCTCAGCAACAACCTGCTCAGCCGCCTGGACGAGGGTCTCTTCCGGGGCCTGGTGCACCTCTGGGACCTCAACCTGGGCTGGAACAGCCTGGCCGTGCTGCCCGACACTGCGTTCCAGGGCCTGGCCGGCCTGCGGGAGCTGGTGCTGGCAGGCAACAAGCTGGCCTACCTGCAGCCCGCGCTCTTCTGCGGCCTGGGCGAGCTGCGAGAGCTGGACCTGAGCCGGAATGCCCTGCGCAGCGTCAAGGCCAACGTCTTCATCAAGCTGCCCAAGCTCCAGAAGCTCTACCTGGACCACAACCTCGTGGCCGCCGTGGCCCCGGGCGCCTTCCTGGGCATGAAGGCGCTGCGCTGGCTGGACCTCTCGCACAACCGCGTGGGCGGCCTCCTGGAGGACAGCTTCCCGGGGCTGCTGGGCCTGCGTGTCCTGCGCCTCTCGCACAACGCGCTCGCCAGCCTGCGGCCCCGCACCTTCAAGGACCTGCACTTCCTGGAGGAGCTGCAGCTCGGCCACAACCGCCTGCGGCAGCTGCCCGAAGAAGCCTTCACAGGCCTGGGCCAGCTGGAGGTGCTGGCCCTCAACAACAACCAGCTGCAGGAACTCCGGCCCGGCGGCTTCCTGGGCCTGCTCAACCTGGCCGTGCTCAACCTCTCCGGCAACTGTCTGCGCGACCTCCCGGAGCAGGCCTTCCAGGGCCTGGCCAAGCTCCACAGCCTGCACCTGGAGGGCGGCTGCCTGGCCCGCCTGGGCCCACTCGCCTTCGCGGGCCTCTCGGGGCTGCGCCGGCTCTTCCTCAAGGGCAACAGCATTGCAGACGTGGACGAGCGCAGCCTGGCGGGCCTGGCCGAGCTGCTTGAGCTGGACCTCACGGCCAACCAGCTCACGCACCTGCCAGGCCGGCTCTTCCAGGACCTCGGCCGCCTGGAGTACCTCCTCCTCGCCCGCAACCGGCTGTCGGCCCTGCCGGCGGACGCCCTGGGGCCCCTGAAGCGCACCTTCTGGCTGGACATCTCGCACAACCGCCTGGAGACGCTGCCCGCGGCCGTGCTCGCACCGCTCAGCCGCCTGCGCTTCCTCAGCCTCCGGAACAACTCGCTGAGGACCTTCGCGCCGCAGCCCCCGGGCCTGGAGCGCCTGTGGCTCGAGGGCAACCCCTGGGACTGCGGCTGCGCGCTGGGCGCTCTGCGGGCCTTCGCCCTGCAGCAGCCGGCCTCCGTGCCCCGCTTCGTGCAGGCCCTGGCCGAGGGTGACGACGACCGCCAGCCACCCGTGCTCGCCTACAACAACATCACCTGCGCCAGCCCGCCTAGCCTGGCGGGCCTCGACCTGCGCGACATCGGCGAGGCCCACTTTGCCCACTGCTGACCCGAGGCTGCCCCGGCATCCCGACGGGCCCTCGCAGCCCCGGGGGGACACAGCCTGCTCCCTCAGGGCCTGACTGTGAGGGTCGGGGACACGGCCTCCCCAGCTGTCATCAATTAAAGTAACCGAATAAACAGGGCCGCGTGTGAGGGCAGGGGTGCAGCTCAGTGCGGGTGGGGGGGTGCTAGCCAGGGCCCCTCTGCCTAACGCAGCCCCACGGCCCGCCCTGCGTCCAGGCCCCCTTTTCGTCTGTGAGTCCCCAGGAGCCCCCCCGGGAGCGGCGGTCCCTCACTCATGTCCTCTGGGAGCCTCACGCGTCAGCCCCTCGCCAGGGTCCTCAGAGGCAGCTTGGTCCTGGGAAGCGGGGGCCGGAGGGGGTGCGACCCTCCCTCTCTGGGTCCCTGTGCTCCCGGCCATACCCCCCACCCCCAAAGGAAGGCCCCCGGGGTGCACTCATCACCGTCGCCCCCCCAGAAGTGGGGCCCAGGCCTGCATGCACCCCCGGCCGAGTACCCAGGCTCTTCCCAGGTAGAGCAGCAGGCAGGCTGCCCAGGATGCACCCCAGCCTCCCCGGGACCCACGTAGGGGAGAGGCCTGGGGCTCCGCTCCACACTCTCCTCTCCTGTCAGCCCTGCCCCCGGCCCGGGGCAGGCCCTCGGCTGTTGCTAGGCCAAGCCTGGCCATTCACACACCCCAAGTCACCCGGCACTCCACACGAGCCTCACCTGAGGCTCCAGGGGCCTGTCGACAGCAGGACTGCTGGCCAATTCCTGGGACTTGGGGGGGGACACTGCACAGGACACAGTGACACCCGGCCAAGAGGCGGGGCCAGGGCGTGACGCTCTAGAAAGGTCAGATGTGTGAACACAGTGGTGGAATGCATTTATTGCGGGCTCCTCTGAGTTACAAGTTTGACACCTTACTGGGTGTTGCCTCCTTCACTGGGCTTCCGGGCCAGCGGGCCAGGAAAGCTTCCAGATGCACCAGCTCTGTGAACAACGTGGAGACTCGGCTGGTGGGAGCAGCTGTCTGTTCGGGCTACGGGGGTACTGAGCTGCGCCAGCAGGGAGGGCAGGCCACGGCACAGGGACCCCACGCCGTCCCCGGGTGACCGGGCAGAGCCACTCACTGTCACTGGCTCAGCCAAGATGCTGCCAAAGCTCCAGAAACGTCCCAGACGGGCCCCGTAGGGAGAGAGGCACGCAGGGCCTGGCCAGGTCCCCACCCCAGACCTCCAACCCCACAGCGCACAGAAGCGCTCAGCCTGCCTTGGTCAGGAGAGCCCCACGGGCGTCTCGCTGAGAATCTTCTGGGCGATGGAGGAGAGCGCAGGGAACGCGGGGCTTTCGGGGAAGTCCTGGATGAAGTCCCGGCCGTCCTCCAGGCTCCGCGTTAGCTTGGGGTCGAGAGGCACCGAGCCTGGGGGCGGGGGCAGGGAGAGTGGGCAGTGAGGGCCAGGCTGGGAGGCCCTGTCCACCCCCTCAGCCCAGGAGCCCGTGGGCAGCACTGCCGAGGCCCGGCAGGACTGGCTCCCGGGCTGAACCATCCCAGGACGCCCAGCAGGCCCCAATGCCTCCTGGGTGCTCCTGCAGAAGGAAACACAGGGCGCCTGCCGCTCGCAGCCCTCGCGGGGCGGGGGGACGGCGGGGTGGGAGGAAGACCCCTCTCGCCTCTCCCCAGGGAGCAGGGCCCTGGGGCAGCCCCGGCCCACTCACCCAGGAAGGGGACTCCGGCGTGTCTCGCCAGCTCCTCACCGCCTCCCTTGGAGAAGACATTGGTGCACTCCTGGGACACAAAGACACAGGGTCCACCTGCTTCCTCTCTGCCTGCGAGGGGCGGGGGCGGGCCGGCCACCCACGCCCGCGACTGCCCAGGACTCACCGAGCAGTGGGGGCAGACAAAGCCGCTCATGTTCTCCACGAGCCCGATCACCTGCAGCCCCACCTTCCTGCAGAAGGTCAGCTCCCGCCTCACGTCCCCCACGGACACAGCCTGGAGGCCGGGAAAGGGGCGGGGGCTGCAGGTGGGTACCCCGGAAACAGCCAAGATGGGCGAGGAGGGCAGGGCATCTGCCCTGGGGTGAGGGCGCCCTGTGGGAACAGTACCTGGGGCGTGGTGACCACGAGGGCCCCCAGGGGACTGTAGGGGCGCAGGGCATCCACCACGGCCATGTGCTCGTCAGAGGTCCCTGGGGGCGTGTCCACAACCAGGTAGTCCAGCTGCCCCCAGGCCACGTCGGACACAAACTGCTTTATCAGCGCTGCAGAGACCCAGGGAGGCTCGGGGTTGGGGGTAGCGGGCAGGCAGGCAGGGTCTCACCAGGCCCACGCCCCCTCCTGGCCCCAGGGCGGGGCGACCTTTGGGTCCTGGGCCCACTGGCATTTGGAGAGCCGTGTGTACCACTGCGCGCCAGGGGAGAGACCCTTCCCCAGCCCCCCAGGACTTCAGCTCAGGCCTTAGCTTTGATGGCTGGAGTGGGGACCGGGCAGGCAGGCAGGGTCTCACCAGGCCCACGCCCCCTCCTGGCCCCAGGGCGGGGCGACCTTTGGGTCCTGGGCCCACTGGCATTTGGAGAGCCGTGTGTACCACTGCGCGCCAGGGGAGAGACCCTTCCCCAGCCCCCCAGGACTTCAGCTCAGGCCTTAGCTTTGATGGCTGGAGTGGGGACCCTCCAGGGGCGGATGTCTGTGCCCCAGAGAGGCGGCCTGCAGGGAATGCCAGGTGGGCATGGCCTGGGAGCAGCCCCTGCCCCGGACTTGCTCCCACACCTGGCAGCCCCATGCTGGCCTTCGGAAGGAGCCAAACCCTGTCTGCTGGGGCAGAGGCATCAGACCTCTGGGGAGGACCAGGCAGCTGAAGGCCTCATGGCTGCAGCTCACATTCGCTCCCCAGGCCTGCTGTCTGCATACTCGCAGGCTCGACAGGTCCGGGTTGGGGGGAGCGTCTTGGAAGTGAAGAGGCGGGAGCCAGTCTTTCCTCCGGCACCCAAGGTGGTGGGGCAGGTGGGGCACCGGCAGCTCGGCATGGCATTACCGTTCTTCCTGGGGCCTCTCCACACCAAAGCCTCATCCGGCTGCTCCAGCAGGAAGCCCACGGACATGAGGGAGATGCTCTGCTCCCGGTCCACGAAGACGGGCACCCAGCCGCTGTCGCCCTGGTGCACCGCCCTGCCCTGCGCTCGGAGCATGCGGGGGATGCTGGGGCCGCACAGGTCCACGTCCAGGATCCCCACCTGCCGGGGGCGTCCACGCGACTCATGAGAGGCTCCAGCCGGGCGCTGTCCTGCATGACCACCCAGGAGAGTAGGGCTCGCAAGGAGACAGGAGGCGCTCACCTTCTTGCCCGTGTGGCGCAGGGCCAGCGCCAGCTCCGTGGAGATGGTGCTCTTCCCGACGCCCCCCTTTCCCGAGAGGACGAGGATGATGTGCCGGACGCCAGCTAGGTTTCCAGGCTCTGGTTGGAAAGACAGAGGGGAGGAGGGCTGGGTGTCACCTCCGTGCCAGCCGCCCTCCGCTGCCCACTCACCGTGGCCACCACGCACGTCCTACACCCAGGTCCTGACACAAGCAAACGCGGCCACGCGAGAGGGGTTCCAGCAGACCTCAGACCCAACCCACTGCGTCCTCAGAGACGTCCGCCCCCGCTTGGTCTGGAGCAGGGGTGCTGTGGCTAGAAATGCTGCAAACCCTCCGCTCTGCAGTGCGCACACGTGAGTGCATGCACACCTTGCATGCACAAGGCCAATTCCAGCCAAAGCCTCCCAGCTGGCTCCAAGGGATGAGGGTGGAGACCAATGTGCTGCCAGCCCCTGTGCCAGCACCTCTAGGTCTGACTGCAGGCGGGCAGCGCCCTCCTCTGGGGGCAGGAGCGGAACTCCTGGCAGCCCCAGCCTCCTGCTCAGGAGGCACCCACACTATGTGAGGGGGCAGAAGTTAGGTCACTCGGATGGCTCACGGTTGCGCCTTAAGAAACCCTGGGTACCCCCAGGGCGCCATAGCACCAGTGCCAGACCCCAGGCAGGCTCTGCCCCAGCTCCTGTTTCTCCCAGTGAGCCTGAAATGCCACCATGAACACACTCACCACTCCCACCCCTGCCACCTGACACGGGCGCCATCTGTGTACAAGCAACCCTCAGCCCCTGCAAAGTACCCTGAGGCCCTCACCAAAGAGAGTCCCGCCTGGCCTGCAGCAAGCTGCTCGCTCCAGCAGCCTCCCTGCCCCCCGGCTTTGCAGGAAGGGCTCAGCGCGAGGTGAGTGAACACTGTCTCCCTCCTGACCCATCTCTCATGGGCAGGTGCAAAGGCCGCTGCCACCAAAGGGTCCCTGGAAGGAACTCAGGGTGCACCTGGCCTGGCTTCTCCACTGTCGTAAGGCAGTGCAGTGCCTGCCCTGGGTCTCCTTCTAGAGATCCTGTATGGTGACGAGGAAAGGCCACCATCCCCCAGCCACGGATCACTGCCGACAACACGGCCACCATGCCTCAGGCCACTTCTGTGATGACTTAAGAGGCTATTACTTAAACTGCTTTAATATCAGAAAGTAGTAGAGGGGCTTCCCTGGTGGCTCAGTGGTGAAGAATCCTCCTGCCAATGCAGGAGACACGGGTTCGATCCCTGCTGTGGGAAGATCCCACATGCCACCGAGCAGCTAAGCTTGTGGGTCACAACTATTAAGCCTGTGCTCTGGGGCCCAGGAAACACAACTCCCAAAGCCCACAAGCCCCAGAACCTGTGCTTCGCAACAAGAGAAGTCACCGCTCGCCACAACTAGAGAAAAGCCCACGCAGCAATGAAAACCCAGCACAACCTATAAATAAATAAAAGTATCTTTTAGGAACAGTAGTTGGGAATCAGTTTCACCTTTCTTTGGTGGGCAGATGGGCACTCGGGCAGAAACTTGGGAAAGAACAAGGCAGATGTGGGTCCTGACACCTACATGCCCTCCATGCCAGCGCTGCACTGCCAACCTCATAAAAGTGATGCCTTGCTCTCCTCACTGGTGGGACTGGGGAGCTTCATCTGCCTAAGCCTCAAACAGGATATTGCGGCTCCCATCAGGTAACTGGAAGGAGCCGCCAACTTCCCAGACCACAGTTCTCAGGAGCCAAACACAACTTTTCCTCATAAGTAAACTCAAAGGCTTACAAACAATGACAAATCAAATGCATACTACTACATGGGAGAGGCTGCCCTGGAAGGGGCAAAGGAAAGCAGTGTCTCCCCTACGGAGGGAAGTGAGGGATCCCACGTTTGGATGAGAAGACTAATCAAGCAAGCCTTAAGTCCAACCAAATCAATATTATCTGATACACTGGACAAGTACAGGAATCTTTGTATATAAAGAATCTCTCCAATAGGATACAAGCAACTGACAACAGGAGCTGCCTCTGAGCACAGGCAGGTTTACTGCATAGCCTGTGAGGCTTCTCGAATTTCTGTGTGCATTTGCCTCCTCGTTAAAAAAAGCATTCATTATCAATCTAGAAACCATCCCCCTCACCTTGTATCAAGTGTGCCCTCATCATAACAAGCTTCTTCTGATTTTTCTCTCCAGTCTTACGTTTATAATCTGATGGATGAATCCAGCGTTGTAAACGCTCTGTGCTCAAGATATCAGACCCGAAGTCTTTTAGAAAATAATGTAGCTAATCTGTGCGAATCCGGCTGTGCCCAATGTATACTTTGGGTCCAAAGCAGATTTCATTAAAGAAAAAAAAAAAGGCTTAGAAAGTCAAAATAGAACTTCTACAAAAAACAGAATGTGACGTTCCGGTTTCTCTTAGAGCGCCTTATTCAAGTAAGACCTCCTTCTAAGCGCCGTAATGACACGTGCGCGCACCTCTGAGAACTTTATACCGCAAATAAGACGGTGTGCTGAAACCCGGAGCCACGACTAGCAGCTGCGGGCCTGCCCATCCCTCTTGCCTCGGCGCCCGCAGACCCGCGACGCCCCGCGGTCACGCACACTCACCCGCAACAGCTTCCATCCTGCCCCCAGCTCGCCCCACGTCCTCCTCGCAGCCCGCCTCCGTCCAATCTGAGTGAAGCGCCTTCGGACCAATGGGCAACGCGAACCCGCCCCAGCTCCCCTTGATAGGCCCACTCGCGCTACCCTTAGCCAATCAGATTGCCCAAAGGGTGCACGCAGGTTCCGGCGCAGACGGCGTACAGGACAGGGACCCACTTCCGTGTCAACGCCCCAGCACGGGACCGCTTCGTTTGCCCGCCCCCCGTCCAATAGGCTCGCGGGACTTGTCTCCGACCGCTTCAGATGTGGCCAATGAGGACGTCGATCTAGGATTGACAGGCCCATCAGCCTCTCAGCAAGAGGTTTGTGCCGCGGGGCCCGCCCCTCTTCCGAACGCCGAAGTCGAGTGCACTGCGGAGCCAATACGGCGCGGGGGGCGGACCGCGGGGCGGGGATTGTTTACGTCTTGCTCCGAAGCGGAAAGTAGGTCACGGCTGGCCCCGCTGAGCGCGGCAGCGCAGAGCGGCTGCAGGTGAGCAGCGGGCCTCGGCCGCTCCTCCCCGGGTCTTCCGTGCCCTGCTGCCCAGCCTGGGTCGGGAGCCCACTGCACCCGTTGGCCTCGCGGAGCTGCGGGCGGTGCGCCTTTGTTCCGGCAGCGGCGGCGGCGGGGCCAGAAGAGGCGGGCGAGGCTCTGCACCGCAGGCCGGGCGGGGCGGCGGGTGGGAGGAACCCCGCGACCCCGCCGACCCTTAGACAGTGCGATGCCAGACGGGGAAGCGACCCCTGCTGCAGCGGGGTCGTCTCGGGGCCATGCATCCCCCGTGCACGGCCTGGCACCTACTGTTGCCGTGGCGGTGGCGGGCGGGGCTTAGGCCGGGCCCGCCGTGGCCGGCTCCAGTAGCGAACCCGGGTCTGCAGACGGGCTCCCATACCTCAAAAGCTGTGCCTGCGCGCGTCCCCTGCCGCCCCTCGGGATCGTGGCGGGGGACAGTCCCGGCCCTCCTGGGGAATTTCAGTACAAGATCCCAGAGATCGACTTGTAACTGTAAGTCGGGCTTGGAAGTTGAGAGCCAAAGACGGGAGGGGAAAGCGTTCTGGGCAAAGGGCTGGGAAGAACCAGCAGCCGGAACAGGGCCGGAACTTGATGGGCTTGGTAGGATTTTACATTTTATCCGGAAAACAATGGCAAGCCCTGAGAAGTTTATAACTCGCTAATTCAAATTTTTTTAAGATTTGTGTTTCGAAAAAGCTGGGTTGTAGTGAATAAAGTGGGCGGAGCCGGAGCGGAGGAGTCGTGCGGGGGTGGGGGAGGGGCGGTGGCGGCAGATGGTTCAGGACACCGTTGGCGGTGGTGTGGGGCGTGGAGGGCCGTGGTGGGAGGAGGTGTTGGGATGACTGCTGTGTGTCTGGCATGAGGAACTGGGAGGATGGAGATGCCATTTGTCAAACTGGACACCGGAGGAAGGGCAGGCAAAGCTTGAGATGCCCGAGGGACGGGTAGGCAGGACACTTGGGTTCCTGAGGCCAAGCTCAGAGAGGGGCCTTTGAGAGTCATGGATATCTGGGTGGTGTTCCATACTCTCTACCTGAGTTTCATCAAGGTGCTTGGATCCTGGAGCGAGGTACCAGCTTGTGAAGAGAGTTCCAGACCTGGGTCGGCTGGCACAGGCTGTGGGACCAACTGGTGTGCTGCATCTTTCTCTGCTCTAACCCTTTGGTTTCTTCCAGCTCCTGTCCACCATGGCCAGGCGCCCGCGGAGCAGCAGAGCGTGGCATTTTGTCTTGAGCGCAGCCCGCCGGGATGCGGATGCCCGGGCTGTCGCTCTGGCAGGGACTGCCAACTGGGGCTACGACTCTGATGGGCAGGTAGGTTCCAGTGGGTGAGGTGGGCATGGCCGGACAAAAGTGAGGAGACCCCCCCGGGGGCAGGCATTGCCTGAACTAAGATGGAAAGGGAAAGATGGCCCTGGGGGCAGAGGATGGGGTCACTTTGGCTGGACCAGTTGCTGTGTGTGCTGTTTCCACTCTCCCAAGCACTTCATGCCGGTTAAGGACACATGTGGCCTTGTGTGGTGGGACCTCAAGGCAGATATGTTTCTCTGTAGTGGGTGTCAGTGGGTACTTCAGTCAGTTGACTTAACAAAAACATCTCCATTCCGTCTACTCGGCCGATTATAAGGGTGGTTATTGTTATCTCCAAGTGCAACTTTTTGGACATTTCCTCTGTCTGTTGAAGCCTGTGCTCTATGTTTGTGTATATGCACCTGAAAAAAAGAACTTTGATTCTTAAAGACCAGTATTCCTGTGCCTTCCTGTGCTCAGGACCCTGAGCTCTGCAAGGCCCAGGATCACGGAGGCTTTAAGGAGGGCGGCTCAGCTGTCTGTCTGCAGGGCGGGTTCCTGAGGGGCGTGGGGCTTTGCAGTCAGAGCCTTGTCGCGCTGACCCTGTGGTGGGGCTGGGTGCACTCTGTATCTGCCATGGGGAGCCTCACAGTCAGGATCCTGAACCTCTCAGGGCAGAGCCGGGCTTTGGCTCTGCCCTGAGTCCCCTCTACTGTTCTTGGGGATCTCTGACTTGACTCTGGTCTGTTACCCTCATCTGGCCTTGGTGCCCTGGCTCAGCCAGGTGTCTGGGGGGGGACAGATGTCTCTCCCCCCCACACCTCCAGCATGAGGGCAGCTGAGCCCCTGGAACCACCAGGCTTTGGGGGGGGAATTGGAGCTGGTGGTATCCTGGGCCCCCTTCCCGGGCCTCCCTTAGCTCCCTGCCCAGGCCAGCGAGAGGCCCCGGCCTGCATTCCTGTCCCGCCTCCAGCTCCCACTGACCACGTGGCCTGGGCAGTCTTTTCTGCCTGCGCCTGCCTCGCTGGCTCATTGCTGTGGGATGCGGGAGGCGTCCAGGGGCTGGAGGCGCGGTGTCTGACACACAGTTGCAGTTGGGTCGTCCAGCAGCCCTGAAGGCTGCATGCACACATCACTGCCCCGAGCTCTCTTTGTAGCTTGCGGAGAGGCAGGTTCTGCCCTCCATGCAGGGGGTTACGTGCTGGATGCCAAGCATGGGAACTCCAGGGCCAGCGGTGCTCAGGTCTGTGCCCTGGCTCGGGGAGGGGTGTCTCCTCCCGCAGCAGGGGGCCTGCCTATTCCTCAAGAGCTAGGTGCTGTGGGCCCTCAGCCTCTCCGTGGTTACCCATCTCCGACGGGCTCGACCTCCTCGCTCCCTGCCCGGCTTCTGTGTTGCTTCCCTCCTTTGTGGTGCTCAGGGCTGAGTGTGATGGAGCAGGGACTCCATCCTGGGGGAAGGAGGCAGGTGAGCAGGGAGCCGACAGGAAGGAAGAGGAGGCAGAGCACGGGCCTGGCAGAGCCTTTTTGAACTGGTACCCGAGAGAGATCCAGGGGCGAACAGACCCTGCCCCACCCCAAGGGGACAAGCGTGGGCAGGACAGGGGGCTGGGTGGGGGCGCTGATGCTGTCTGAGGAGGGTAAGTCTGTGGGCTTTGCTCTCAGGGCAGCAGGATCTCAGATCTGAACAGGTCCGCTGGACTGCTGTGCAAAGGGCATTTCGGGCCAGAGGGGCACCCAGAGGCCAAGAGAGTGAGGGCGGAGGCCTGAGCACAACCAGGAGCCCAGGCCAAGCTGGGAGAGCTCAGCGCAGGCACACGGAAGCAGTCTGTGCTCTGGGCCTTTGCTGGCTGGCCGGAGTCCAGAGCCCAGGTGGGTGCCTGGAGGCACCCTCACTGGCTTTCAGGAGGGTCTGGTCAGCTGGTCTCCAGACCCTGGCCAGTTCAGCCTTGGCGTCTGGTGCTGGGCTGAGATCGGGCCCCTAAGGCTTGGAGTCTGTCCCGTGAGGACTGAGCCCCCGTGCAGAGGGCCTGTGACCACAGGGCTCCCTCAGCAGGGCCATGTGACGGGGGCTGAGCTGCCCCAGGCACAGACTGGGGAGCCGCAGCCTGGGCCGGGTGTGCAGGCTATGCCGTGGCGATCGGGCCCCAGGAGCCCTGCTGCTGCTCCGGGGAGACCAGGCTGCCTTCCTTAGGTCAGTGGTGGGCTTTGCCATGGGCTCCCCTGTGTATCTGTGACCTAGGAGCTCTGGGCCTTGAAGATGGCTGAGCGTGCAGCCTTGCCGGGGGGCTGATAAGCTGCTGGACCTCCAGGGCTCTTGACTTCATTCCCAGGAAGCCTCTTTGTGGTTGGCCTTCAAGGAGGCCGGAAGAGCTGTCTGTGGTTGCAGCAGCTGGCTGTGCTCTGGGGCAGTCCTCTGGAGGCCAAGCCCCAGGTCCCTTCCTCAGGACGTCTGGCTGTTGACCCATGGACCTGTGGTGGGGCAGGTGGAAGGAGGGCGGTTGGGCCAGTACCGGCAGGCTGGGCGGGAACATCTCCCATGTCCCCCAGCACAGCGACTCAGACTCCGACCCTGAGTGCACGTCCCTGCCGTCGTCAATCCCCAGCGCCGTGCCGGTGACTGGAGAGTCCTTCTGCGACTGTGACAGCCAGAGCGAGGCCTTCTGCGGCAGCCTGCACACTGCCCACCGGGGCCGGGACTGCCGCTGCGGCGAGGAGGACGAGTGTGAGTGCGGGACTGCGGCAGGCGGGCGGGCAGGCGGCCTCCGGGCAGGCTGGGGCTCAGCTGGGCATCTCGCTCTCACAGATTTCGACTGGGTCTGGGATGACCTGAACAAGTCCTCGGCCACCCTGCTGAGCTGTGACAACCGGAAGGTCAGCTTCCACATGGAGTACAGCTGCGGCACGGCAGCCATCCGGGGCACCAAGGAGCTGGGGGAGGGCCAGCACTTCTGGGAGATCAAGATGACGTCGCCTGTCTACGGCACAGACATGGTGAGTGGCCAGCGGGGCTGGGAGGCGGGGGTGCTACCAGGCACCTCGGTCCCCTGCCCCCTCTGCCCAGCCCCCTGTTCCCAGATGGTGGGCATTGGGACGTCGGATGTGGACCTGGACAAGTACCACCACACGTTCTGCAGCCTGCTCGGCCGGGACGAGGACAGCTGGGGCCTCTCCTACACAGGTGGGTGGGGCCCAGGTGGGCGGGCTGGGGCCCCCCAGGCTGCAGGTCTCACCCCAACCCTGCTGCCCCCAGGCCTCCTCCACCACAAGGGTGACAAGACGAGCTTCTCCTCGAGGTTCGGCCAGGGCTCCATCATCGGTGTGCACCTGGACACCTGGCACGGGACACTGACCTTTTTCAAGAACAGGAAGTGCATAGGTGAGGGCGAGACCTACCGCGGCTGCAGGGAGAGGGGTCAGAGCCCCTGGGGGTGCTGAGTGCCCTGAGGCTGTTCCCCCCCTCCCCCAGGTGTGGCGGCCACGCAGCTGCAGAACAAGAGGTTCTACCCGATGGTGTGCTCCACGGCGGCCAAGAGCAGCATGAAGGTGATCCGCTCCTGCGCCAGCGTCACGTCCCTGCAGTACCTGTGCTGCTACCGCCTGCGCCAGCTGCGGCCTGGCTCCGGGGACACGCTTGAGGGCCTGCCCCTGCCGCCCGGCCTCAAGCAGGTGCTGCACCACAAGCTGGGCTGGGTCCTCAGCATGAGTCGCCAGCCTCCTGCACCCTCGCCCGCGGCCAGCGGCCCTGAGCCCCGGCACTGCCAGCGGAAGCGCTGCCGAAGGACCTAGCCTGCTCCCTGATCGAGACCCCTGGGGCTGGGACGGTGCGGTCCTCACCCCGCCTGTGGACTGCCCCAGGGCCGCCGAGGGGAGGACTGAGCTGAGGTCTGTTCCTCTGCCCCTCTGCTGCCTGAGGATAGGACAGGCCTCACTGCAGGGGCTCGGGGCTATCAGCCCTATGACCCCGAGACCCAGCCTGTGTGTTCCGGTGCTGGGCGTAAGAGCAGCTGCCGCCCCAGTGCATCTGGGCTCAGGCCTGGGGGGCTGGCAGGGGAGGGGCTCGGGGGCTGTGGTTCACTGCCTGCGAGGAGGACGCTCCTTGAGGTCGGCTCTCCCTGCCACCACCAGCCTCAGGTTTTTCTTAACTTGCTTTGCATGTCGTCAGCTCTGTTCCTCCTGTCTGAGGCTGAAAGCGACCATAATAAACTCTAAGTCTGATGTCCACCTGCCTATAGAATGAAGGGGGTCAAAGTGAGGCCTGGGGCTCATAGGTGTTCGCGCTTGTTGCCCCTGCCGCCCGGCCTCAAGCAGGTGCTGCACCACAAGCTGGGCTGGGTCCTCAGCATGAGTCGCCAGCCTCCTGCACCCTCGCCCGCGGCCAGTGGCCCTGAGCCCCGGCACTGCCAGCGGAAGCGCTGCCGAAGGACCTAGCCTGCTCCCTGATCGAGACCCCTGGGGCTGGGACGGCGCAGTCCTCGCCCCGCCTGTGGACTGCCCCAGGGCCGCCGAGGGGAGGACTGAGCTGAGGTCTGTCCCTCTGCCCCTCTGCTGCCTGAGGATAGGACAGGCCTCACTGCAGGGGCTCAGGGCTATCAGCCCTATGACCCCGAGACCCAGCCTGTGTGCTCCGGTGCTGGGCGTAAGAGCAGCTGCCGCCCCAGTGCATCTGGGCTCAGGCCTGGGGGGGCTGGCAGGGGAGGGGCTCGGGGGCTGTGGTTCACTGCCTGCGAGGAGGACGTTCCTTGAGGTCGGCTCTCCCTGCCACCACCAGCCTCAGGTTTTTCTTAACTTGCTTTGCATGTCGTCAGCTCTGTTCCTCCTGTCTGAGGCTAAAAGCGACCATAATAAACTCTAAGTCTGATGTCCACCTGCCTATAGAATGAAGGGGGTCAAAGTGAGGCCTGGGGCTCATAGGTGTTCGCGCTTGTCTCCTCTTGGGCCCTCATGGTACCCTGGGAGAGGTGGCCTGGTTCTCTCTCATCCCTCTGAACCTTGTCTCAAAAATGAAGGTTCCCCTACCCCAGCCTCCCAGTGATGGGAGTTTCCCCTGTGGGACCCGAGGCCCCCACAGCCCGTCCTGCTGGTGCCAGCTGCCCACCAGCCCCTCGGCCAGCATGCACAGGTCCAAGGCACGTAAGCCCCACCCCCCACCGTCTCGAGACCTTCCACCGGCGAGCAAAGAATTTCCTCTTCTCCCAGTTATGCAAGATTTCTCTCTGCTGCCCCCTCATCCCCCAGCTCAGGGTCAGACTTGACTGAGAGCCCCAAGAGCCCCAGGTGCGGGGCACACCACCCCTCGTGGTTTCCCGTGGGTCCCCTGGGCGGCCGTGATCACTCCTGCCGCAGGTGGGAGGGCCCTGTGTGGCCCCACGGGCGTGGTCAGGAACCCAGATCCAGCAGGAGGTCGGGGTTGGTGGTGGTCAGGAAGAGGCAGATGCGGCGGGAGAGGTCGGGCCCCACCCTGCGGGGCGGCACACCCTTGCCCGTCTTCACTGGGAGGTCGGCCAGCAGGGCCAGGCGCTCCTGCTCCATGCCACAGGCCATGTACGCCTAGGGCGGGCACAGGGGTGAGTGGCAGGCCTTGGGGAGCCGGCCCCATTCCCGGGGTTTGGGTGAGGGTGGGCACCCACCTGTTGCAGCAGGCGGGGGGATGGGAAGGCACTGACAACAGTGTCAGCCACGGCTGGGCTGACGCGGTTGAACTGCCTGACCTGCCGCCACCAGGCCTCCCGCAGCCCTGCACCGTCTCTGGCCACTCGCTCGCCTGCCGCCCAGCGCCCAGAGGTGCAGAAGGGGAAGGCCCCAGACTCCCGGGCCTGCCTGGGGGGGGGGAGGGTGCAGGGAGGCGCTAGAGGCCCCTCACCTCTGCCGAGCACCCCACCCCCTGTTCAGCAGAGCCTGGGACCCCTCGGACACGGCCCCCACCACCCACAGCTCCCAGAAGGGAGAGGGTCACGCACTTGAAGGGGCGCTGGGCGAGGGCCTTGGTGAAGGCGCACACATGCTGGCTCAGCTCCTGCCAGGAGGCCACCAGCAGCACGTCCACGTTCGCCCAGAGCTGCAGGTGCACCAGGGCCTAGGTGGGAGTGACCGCGGTGTGGGGCACGGGGCTCCCCAACAACACATGCCCCCACGGGCCACACCGGCCCCGATGTGCCCTGGACAGCAGCCAAGGACCAGGCCCCAGGCCCACCTCACCGTCTCACCTCCTCCACCTCAGGCCAGCCGACCGCCCCCTTGGTGCGAGTGACTGCTGGACGCCCTGGCTGCTGCGTCTCCTGGGCTCTGGGCTGCTGAGACCTGAGCAGATGGACCGTCCCTGTGGCCCCTCACCCTCCCTGACCCTCTTCCATTCCCCCGAGCCGCCCAGGGGAGGGGGTCAGCTGTGACGCCAGCCCCCAAAACCACCCTGCCTTCCCCGTGAACCCTCCCGTCCTGGTGAGGCAGGCCAAGGGTGTCAGGGTGACCAGTACCACAGATAAGCGTCCAGCCCGATGACAGCCAGGTGGAGGCAGGCAGGGCTCTCAGGCGTGACCCAGGGCACAGAACAGGTCAGGCCACATACCTGCATGCCAAGGAGGCTCACCTGTTCCTCGGGGCTGTGGCAGGCGGGGCCCACCAGCCAGTGCCAGCTTGCAGGAAGCAAGCAAAGTCCTTCCAAGAAGGACCCCTCGGTGCTGGGAGGGGGTGGGGTGGACTCCTCCGCCCGGCCTGCTCTCTTCAGAAAACCAGCCCTGTGCTTGCCACAGGGAGGTCTACGAAAGTCCTCAGGCACATCCCAGGTGCCTAGAAGACTTGGAATGAAGTCCCCTCCCCATCCCTGGCCCACCTCTGCCTGGCACAGAGCAGGTGCTTGATGAACTGTGAACCCTGAGACCCAGAGCCTGGCAGAGGGTCCGGCCTAAACGATACTCTGGTGCAAACGTCAGCTGAGAGCAATCCCTATTTCTCCTCGGGCCAGGAGGGCTGGGTTGTGGGGTGTCACAAGGCCGACTGCACAGCCAGCCTGCGGCCCTGGTCCCCAGGTCTCCACCCGCAGTTGACCACCTAACTTCTAACTCAGGGCTCAAGAGAACCTGCCTCATTGTGGCTTCTGCGGTCTAGAAGCAGCTGTGGCTCCCACCTTCTGCCAGCCCAAGAGCCCAGCAGTTTCCCCCAGTTCAGCCCTGACGCCCAAGGCAGAGCACCCAGCCCTGCCATCTGCCGACAAGGCTCTCCTCCCACTCCTCCGCCGCACCTGGGTCAGCTGGACCACTCCGCGTACAAACTCTTCAGGCTCCAGCAACAGCAGCACGTGGGGCTCATCCTCAGCCCACACCTCAGGGGGCACCTGGGGGACATGGGGGGTGCTGCTGCCCACCCCGGGCCACAGTCCGGGCCCCCAGGAGTCCCGGGGCTCACATAGGTTCTCCCCGGGTTGCTCTCCACCAGCCCGGCATCCCGACTTCTACTAACACCGACCCAGAGGGCCAGGCGGCTACGCCTGCGGCCACAGCCTGGACGGGCTGGGAGGGCCGGTCCCTCAGCGCGGCCCTTCCTTCAGGCTCTGGGTCCCAGCCTTTTACCGCCCGCCCCGCGCCCCCCCCCCCCCCCCTATTCTCAGTTCGCTCCTTTGGAAAACGTGCCTCTCAGAGCATCTCTGCTACGTTAAACACCCAACCCAGGGCTGCACTCGGCCCCCACCCCCTGGACACTCACATCGCGCGGGCAAGGGTCTGGGCTCGCCCGGCTCCAGCGGAGGCTCCGCGCCGGGCGCTGCGGCTCCACGCGGGGCTCACAGCCCAGGGCGTGCAGGGCCTCCATCAGGGTGTCGGCACCCGCGTCTTCCAGGACGGCTGGGACGGGGCGCAAGGAGGCCGGCGGTCACTGCTCCCTCCCCCGCGCGGACACCGGACACCCACCGCCTGGACAGCGCGCTGCCAGCACTGACCCCCGGCCGGCTCCCAAGGCGCAGGGCGGAGTCCGTCCAACCGGGTCCCCCAAGGCCCGGCTCCCACCCGGGCGGCTCCCCGCACCTGGGTCCACGAGCACCGCCAGGCGACGCACCGCCTGCCCGGGCCGCAGCCACCGCAGCGCCTCGGCCGCCGGCCTGCGCTCTCCCGCCGGCTCCCGAGTCGTCGCGGGGGTCTCCGCGCTAGCCGGGCCCTCGGCGTCCGAGTCCGAGATCTCCCACGTCGGGGGCCGCCGCTGTTCCCGGCCCCGGCGGGCGCCCCCGCCCCTCCCGGGCACTGCCCTCGCCATGGCCCGCCCGGCCCCTTCTCCGCTTCCGGCCGCGCCCGGACTCCTTTGCAAGGGACACCCGCCGCTTCCGGCGCCAGGCGGGTCTGCAGCGCGGCGGCGGAGGCATCTTCCGGCCGGACCGTGGAGGCCGCCCCGGCCATGGCGCGCAAGAAGGTGCGGCCGCGGCTGATCGCCGAGCTGGCCCGCCGTGTGCGGGCCCTGCGCGAGCAGCGGGAGCGACCGCGCGACTCGGTGCGCTACGCCCTGGACTACGAGACGCTGATGCGGCCGCACTCGGGCCGCAAACTGCCCATGCGAGCCTGGGTCGACGTGCGCCGCGAGAGTCGGCTCCTGCAACTGCTCGCCCGCCTCCCGTTCTTCGGCCTGGGCCGCCTGGTCACGCGCAAGTCCTGGCTGTGGCAGCACGACGAGCCGTGCTACTGGCGCCTCACGCGGATCCGGCCGGACTACACGGCGCAGGTGCGCGCACCGCGAGCTCCGCGCCGCTCCCAGCCCCGCGGGGCTCCGGCGCCTCCTCTGCGAGCCGCTGAGTGGGAGGGGGTCTCCTGTCGCCCGACCCCAGGGCGAGCGCTTTCCGAGCTGACCTCCTCCCCTACTTGCTTTACAGAACCTGGACCACGGGAAGGCCTGGGGTATCCTGACCTTCAAAGGTAAGGCGTCGGAGACTCGGTGGGGAGGCTGCCCGCAACAGGTTTTCCGGCAACGTCTGAGCAAACGTCCCCGGTCTCCTCTCCCCAGGAAAGACAGAGAGTGAGGCCCGGGAGATCGAGCAGGTCATGTACCACGACTGGCGGCTGGTGCCCAAGCACGAGGAGGAGGCCTTCACCTCTTTCACGCCGGCGCCGGAGGAGACGCCGCGCCCCGTCCCCTACCCGCCGCTCCTCCGGGCCATGATTCTAGCAGAGCGACAGAAAAGCGGAGACCCCAGCACGGAGGAGCCCATGCTCAGCCTGGAGAGGATACGCACTGATCCCTGGGACT